GATTGACAAGGGGCTGAACATGAGCGAGCGTGTGCCCAGGTGGCCAAGCAGGCCAACGGCCTCCTGGCTTGTGTTACAGATTGTGTGGCAAGCAGGAGCAGGGAGGTGATTGTCCCTCTGTACTCGGCACTGATGAGGCCACACCTCGAGTGTTTGGCTCAGCTTTGAGCACCTCAGTCCACGAAAGACATGGAGGTGCTGGAGAGGGTCCGAAGAAGGGCAACAAAGCTGGGGAAGGACCTAGAGAACAAGTCTTAGGAACAGCTGAGGGACCTGGGGCTATTTAGTAAAAAGAAAAGGAGGCTCAGGAGAGACCTTCTCACTCTCTACAGCTTTCTGAAAGGACTCTGTAGAGAGGTAGGTGCTGGTCTCTTCTCACAAGTAACTAGTGATAGAACAAGAGGGAATGGCCTCAAGCTGCTCCCGGAGAGGTTTAGATGGGACATAAGGAAGAACTTTTTCTTCAAGGGTTGTCAGGTGTTGGCCCAGGCTGCCCAGGGAGGTGGTGGAGTCCCTATCCCTGGAGGGTTTAAAAGTGTGTCGATGTGGTGCGTGGGGATATGGCTCAGAGGTGGGTTTGGTAGAGTATGGTAGAGCAGAGTTAGTGGTTGGACTCAATGACCTTAAAGGTCTTTTCTAACCAATGTGATTCTACGATCCCTGTCCAACCTACAGCCAGCTTGCTTTATTTCTAGAAGAAAGAAAAATGTAGTTTTAGGGCACTAGTTGCCCAAATAAATGTTGCCCGTGGTTGTGAACTGCAGATTCAGCTCCACTGATGTGATTAACAGAATCAAGCACCTTTGTGTCCAGCTCAGCCTGGCCCTGTGCTCTCCACCTCCATACAGGTCGCTTTTGGTATCACAGGGATGCAGTGATATCAGAGCCTAGCTGAAAGGGTCAGTCTCTCCCTCCTCAGAGTCTCTGGATCCTGGGCGATGTGCAGCAGCCAATGGGCCAGACCTCAGTGCTACATGGAGAGCTGTGGGGGCTGAGGAGAATGTAGGCAGGAAGAGTTAAACAGGGAGATGGGGTGTGGACGGTCACTCAGGGACTTCTGAGCGCACAAAACCTTTAAGGAAGGGACAGGGGCTGTGACTCCCTCCAGTTCAGACTAACACTTTGCTGTCTTATTGGGCCAGTTTTCCTTCGCAGAGAAATGGGAACATCCGCAGCACGCCGAGGTTCTCGGAGCTCTGGATCTGGGAGGTGCCTCGACACAAATAACCTTCCAGCCTGGAGCCACCATTGAGGACAAGAACACCTCGGTCTTCTTCAGGCTGTACGGCACCAACTACTCGCTCTACACCCACAGCTACCTCTGCTATGGGCAGAAACAGGCCTTGAAGAGGCTCATGGCAAATCTCCACCAGGTACTGCAGCTGCTGGTCACCAGGATCTGCTCAAGCATTTCCCACTGCCATGAAAAAAAACAGAAATTTTGGCCATGCATGTGGAAAAAGTGTTAGGGAACTGGGAGATTAGGTGTTAGGGAACTGTTAGGGAGTTTTCACAAATTCAAAAACCAGGGAGAGGATTAGATTTTATCTACTGAGTCAAAAAATTCTCTCATTTGGGTGGAAGGTGGTGGTGGTGGTGGTAGTTCCTTTCCAGGGCTCCCTTCTCCTCAGATGTTGACCTGTAAAGGCATTTTTCACTATATCCCAAGCCCAGCTGCATCCTTGGGTTCTTCCCTGTCCCCATCCACTCGCCCTGCCTCGATTTCTGCCCAGAGAGAGGATTCCTAGCACACATCCTGCACCCTATTCCCCCACTAAGCAGTGTCCTCGTGTGTCACCTTGGGCAGAGCTCACAGCCTGGTGCTGTGGGAGACATGGATGCTTGGGAAGCTTTTTTGGTCCTTCCTGGGCTAGGGCCTGTCTGGTGGGGACAGAGTGAGTGCCAGGAGCAACAAGCTCTCTGCAGGTGGAGAGCACCTTGGGAGGTGCCCTCGGGAGCAGTTGCCATCCCCATGGGGAGGCACAGGCTGCCAGTGGCCTCCCCACCCCAGTGGGCTCAGTGGTGGGGCCAACAGCAGGACCAGCAAAAGGCAAGGGCAGGTTAGTCATGCAAAGGATGTATCCTGCTTCTCCTCAAATCCTTCTAGGGTCTGGATCCTGCTTTTTGGGAATGTCTAAGCACAGGGTGGGCTTTGGGGTAGGTTTTCACTGGCATCCCACACCAAGCCCCACTGATGGCTCACTCTCTCTCCAGGACAGCCTGCCTTCCCAGCAGATATCCCACCCCTGCTACCCCAAGGGCTATCAGGAGAACGTCAACACATCCGAGCTCTACGACAGCCCCTGTGTGCAGGCAGCCAGCACACCCAGCCCTGCACAGCTCCTCACGGTGACGGGGACAGGGGACCCAGCAGAGTGCAGCAAGGCTGTCCAGAAGCTCTTCAACTTCAGCTGTGGGGCCAACAGGACGTGCGGGTTCAACGGGGTGTATCAGCCACCCCTGCGGGGACAGTTCTTCGTAAGCAGCCTCCAGCCCCCTGCCTGTGGTGGGGGAGGATGGAGGGTGGGAGTCTCCTCTGCTACTGGTTGTAGGAAGGGGTGGGAAGAGAGGGGTGTCCCATCTGCAAACCTCTTCTCCTGGGCTGGGAGGTAGCTTCTGCCTCCTGTGATGTTCCAGCCCTCCTTAAGGGAAATGGGAAGATCGTGTCCCACGGAGCAAGTCTGAGCTAGCTCAGAGTGCAAGCAGCAGCCCCGTGGTTTGTCAACCAGCTGCAAGACTTTCTGGTAGACCATCAAGGGGGTGCTGGATGCAGAACCCTGGGAATTACATGGGACGCTGTCCCCAGGCAAGAGGAGCCCCTGAGTCTTTTTTTTTGGTTAAGAAAAGATATGGCTTTTACCACCTCTCCTTATCCCCCAGGCCTTCGCTGGGTTCTACCACACCTTCCACTTCCTGAACCTGACCAGCCAGCAGTCTTTAAACGACACCTTCTCCACAGTCGAGACCTTCTGCAAGAAGGACTGGACAGAGGTGAGAGCCCTGTGAAGTGCAGCAAGGAGCCCTCTTGTGCTCGTCCTGTCCCAGATCTCTGCCCAGGAAGCACGTGTTCCCTGGGCTAGGGAGGGTTCTGAGCATCTGTTTCATTCCCCATTGCACCGTGTCCCCCGATGGCCTCGCAGCTGCTGGAGACCTTCCCCCAGGAGCAGGAGCACCTCCCCGAGTACTGCCCCACGGCCATTTACATCTTGGCGCTGCTGATCGGTGGCTACAAGTTCAATGAGCACACGTGGAGCAGGATCCACTTCAGCCAGCAGGTAAATGCCCTGCAGGGCAGCCGAGGTGGGCACGCAGCTGTGGGCACCTCCTTGCCCTGCCCCAAAGACACGTTCAGGGGCAGCATTCTTAGAGTCCCCTGCACCAGAAACGTGTCCCTGTCATCTCATGGCCGCTACCCTGTGATCCCAGCACAGCTCCACCCTTTCTTACCTGCCCCCAGACCTCTGGCACCAGCTTCTCATGTATTTTGGTATGAACATAACTGAATTTAGGGTGCAGAGCAGGATTTGGCCACTTTAGTCTCTGATGTTGGGCAGAATTGACTTCAGCATCAAAGAGGTGACGGTGCCCCCAGGACCCATTTGAACCAGAAGATGACCAAATTTGAAGGATCATGGGGGAGGAGGGAAGCTCAGTTCCAAAATCATGTGCAGGTCAGAGAGGCACATCTGGACCAGGGCAATCATCCATCTTCAGCTGCCCTTTAGCCCTTGGGAAGGGGGGACAGGGAATCTCTCTGTGCAGCTGGTGCTGGTAAGATCAGGTTCATCACAGCCAGGTCCACGTGTGAAATCACAGCTGGGGCAGCTCAGGGGAGAGGTTCCCATCAGTCCCTTGCACCAAGCCTCAGGTGCCTGGGAGAGGCACCTCTGGGTGATCCCCTCTGCTCTCTCCCCTCAGGCAGCAAACACGGACATCGGATGGACGCTGGGCTTCATGCTGAACTTGACCAACATGATCCCCACGGAGGCTCCGGAATACGTCAAGGGGCACCAGCCCAGTCTGTGGGCAGGTTCTGTCTCCTTCATAGTGCTGGCCATAGTGGCAGGTCTGGTGGCCATTTTCCTCCAGTGTTTTTGGAAAACCAAGTAGCTCCCAGCCTCCTGGCTAAGAGGAATCCTGCCCACTAAAGCAGGCGGGGAGGTGGCACAAAGAAGGTGGAAAGGGGAGAAGAATGAGGGCATTAGACCCAGCTCCATTGCTCAGGAGGTGTATTTGGGTCATCTCTGTAAAGATGTCAAAGATGACAAAGGTGTCTTTGAGTTCTGCAAGTACCTCACAGAGGAAAGGACTCCTTCCATCTGGCTGACAAAAGCTGACTGAGACTTGGTAGCCAGATGAAGCCAGATAAATGAAAAACTAGAAATAAAATCCTTTGTTTTACAAATACGAAAGTCACTCACCAGAGTTTCCTTGGCACTTCCATTGCACCCCCAACAGCCATGGGAAGCAACTGGTGATGGGGAGCAGCAGTGGCCACCTAAACTCTGAGGAGAGGGGTGACCTCATGTGTATCTTGCTCTGTGCAAGATGTGCCAGATTTTTGTAATATGTCACAGAATATCTCCCCAAAGACACTGTCAGCTGTCTGTAGAAATATTTACTGGTGTATCTCAGGAGAAAAATACAAGTGGAGTTGATTTAAGAGCTGCCAGCTCTGGCTCAGGGTTTATTTTATATTCAAGTTACATAGCCCAGCTTCCTCAGACACCAAATCTATAGCAGGTCCCAGCTCCAGGCACTTGAGTGTTTTATTTGGATCAGCCAAGCCCAGCACAGCTCAGCTGCAGGAACTGGACAGTTGTTTGAGTCCTTCCAGCTCCAGCCACCAGCCCAGCACCACGCTGCACAGCCAGCCCTCTCCCCCGCCCCTCCGAGGCTCTGCCAAAGCCCAGGGCTGGTCTGAGGAGAGGTATTGCCACACCTACCCCTCCTCTGTGCTGCAAGACCCCTGCCCAGGCAGCATGGAGCAGTAACATCCAGGTGGGACTTCAGGGCATGAGAAAGGAACCAAAGGAATCTGGGCTGAAGAATGGTCAGCACCCTTTGGCTCTGGCAGATCCACGGGGTATCTGCTGTGGAAGATGACACATGATGGTCCTAACTGCACACTGGTTACAAAAGCCTTTTGAAAGAGCAGCATCTCTCTGGTGGAGAGCCATGACCCAGGAGGTGGGGACAGGGCTCTGCCTCCTGCTCCCAGCCAGGAGAAGAGCCACCAGAATGATCCAAGGGCTGGAGCAGCTCTGCTGTGAGGACAGACTGAGAGAGTTGGGGCTGTTCAGTCTGGAGAAGAGAAGGCTCCAAGGTGACCTTATTGTGGCCTTCCAGTATCTTAGGGGGGCTACAAGAAAGCTGGGGAGGGACTTTTTAGGATATCAAGTAACAACAGAACTAGAGGGAATGGGGCAAAGCTGGAAGTGGGCAGATTCAGGCTGGATGTGAGGAAGAAGTTCTTCCCCAGGAGAGTGGTGAGACCCTGGAATGGGTTGCCCAGGGAGGTGGTTGAGGCCCCATCCCTGGGGGTCTTTAAGGCCAGGCTGGAGGAGGCTCTGGGCCGCCTGATCTAGTGGGAGGTGTCCCTGCTCATGGCAGAGGGGTTGGAACTGGGGGATCCTTGTGGCCCCTTCCAACCCTGACAGATTCTGATCTGTTTTAGCAGAGGACTTTAGAGCCCTAATGGCTCAATGGTTGGACTTGATGATCTTGGAGGTCCCTTCCAACCTAAATGATTCTATGATTAAGTGAGGCTCAGCCTTCCCAGCCTGAACTGGGGCAACAAGGGAAATGGGGTGAAGACCTCCATCCAGAAGAATCTCTTCCCACCCAGCAGTCTGAGCTGCCACATGGACATTTCCTGCACCCAAACACCAGATCCCCCTCTCTCCTCTCTGCCCTGCACAAGCCCATCTTTGGCACTACAAGCACAGAGGTAGAAACGCCAGGTCTGGGGGTAGGCTGTAGAAAATGCTCAGAGCCCATGGGAGCTGTGAATGTGAGACACCCCCCGTCCA